GAGTCGCAGGGTTTCCCGGCCCGGGTCGACTCGCTCAGCGGCCGGCAGATCGAGTCGCGCAGCCGCCATGATCCACGATGCCGATCACAGGGTGTTGCGGTTGTGAATCAGCGGCCCGCGGCGGCGAGGCCCGCCGCCCCCCGCGTGGCCCCTGGCGCAGGAGTGCGAGGACGAGCCCAGTCGAGGACCCGACAGAAGTGCATGTCCTGCCTGGCAGTGCCAGCGACGCGCAGCCAGCATTTGAACTCGGGTCGAGGGGTTCTGCTGGCGCGGGGGATAAAGGGGGGCGGGCGGGGCTGGCGACGCGCCCAGTCATGGACCTCGTGCCGAGTGGTTCCGCCTGAGGTGGCAAGCCGCGCTGGTGTCGCGCGGCCTGCTCCATGCCGACACGGAGGGGTTAAGCCTTGGCGCGGATCTTCTCGGTCCGAGATTTTCTTCGGATGGAGAGGGCCTTGGTCAGAGCCCCGCGGTGGGCGATGACGCGCCGCGCTCGCCTGCAGAACCGGCCCTTTGGAGGGCGACGTGGCGAGCCAGCTCTCGTTGACGTGAGCCATGGGCGATAGGCGATGACTGCGACGGTTTGCCGGGCCCGCGTCTCTCGGCCAGAGGGGCGGCATTCGATTTGCCAGTGCCCGGCGCCTAGTGGTGCAGGGCGGGCCGGGGCCTTCCCGCGGCCCCGCCTTGGGCCAGAAGGCAACATTCTGCAGCGGTGCGCGAGGACTGAGCAGACCAGTGGTGCGGCCGCCGTGCAGCAGGAACGCCGTCTGGGGTGAGCGGCGCGAGCCCCCGATGGCGTCGGGGGGGTCGTTTCGCGCAGCCGCCAGGCAACGGTGCCGCGAGCCGCGATCGATGGGCTGCCGACTGGTGGGTCGCCGAAGCGCCGTCCTGTGGCACTCCGCCCCCCTGGGCCGCCGACGGGCGGGTGGCCGATGCCCCGGGGGAGGAGTGTTATGAAGGCGCCGCGTGCAGCGTGAGCTGCCGGGGGTGCTGGACGCCGTGGGCCCAAGGGCCAGTGGGGCGGGGAGGGCCCGCGGCCCTTCCGGGCGCCAAGCAGGAACGTGCCGCTGGTGTTGGCAAGCTGCGTGGGTGTCGGGCCTGCGCGCTTCAGGCTGGGACCCCTCCTTCGGCCGGCCCTGGGCGGGCGGCGACGGCAACTTGGCGGCGCGCGTCTCTGGCTCGGTGGGGCGCGACCCGTGCCCGCTGCAGACGGCCGGGGGCGGCGATGACGTTGCGGACTGGATGTTGCGCGCCTGCGGCGGCGTCGCGATCCAGGAGGTCAACGTCGGCGGCGGCGCCGCGGCGTCGCGCCCCCGCCGCGGCGGGGAGAGAGGTGGGCTCCCAACGGGCCGAATTCATGCTTGTGGGCGATGGTCCACGCGCGCCTTTCCCGCATTGGAGCGCGGCGCTGCGTGGTCTACCCCCGGAGCGCGCGAGTCCGAGGGCCGCGTCTCCGCGCTCGCGAGGACGTGGGGCGCGCGCCTTGGCCCCGTCGGCGATGGGTTGGCGCGCTGCCGCTGGATGCGGCGCGCATCGCGGCTCTTCTCCTCTCCGACGAGATGGAGGGCCACTTCGTCGGGCTGGCGGCCGACCAGGCGGTCAGCGAGCGCGGGCGCTTGGCGGGGGAGATCTGCGAGCGCGCATTGCAGCGAGCACGGTGCGATCGCGCCCGGCGCTGGCAGCGGGTGCGCATCCTCGAGGCCAGCGCGCGAGACGATGCGGTGGGGCGGCTGCTTGCTGGAGCGAGGACAGCGCGATCATCGAGGGAACGACGCCTAGGGGCCCCAGGGCGCGGCGGCTTCCCAGTCCCGAGGCCGCTGCCAACGGCCTACCACTGAGATGCAGGCGGTAGACCAGGGTGGTCGATAACGACCGCGGCATTCTGGCCCGCTCCGGCGCTCCCCATAGGCGGGCCCCCATTTCGCCCAGCCAGGGCAGCGGCAAGCAGGGTGTGTCGAACGCGTCGAACGGGGTCGGCAACTCCGCCAGACCGACTCATTCTGCGCTGGCAGCTCGGAAGCCAGCGGCAGCCCTGGGGCTGCGGGGCTGGCCAGTGGCGGCGGCCGTAGCAGCCATGACGGTGCTGGCAGGCGCCGATGCTGCTGCGGAAGGAGGCGCAGGAGACCATGGCGCCGCGCAGGCAATTGCAGCAGATCCCTGCAGAATGCCAAAATTCGATGCTTGGCTTGCGTGAAGGTGCAGCCCGAGGGAGGTGAGGTCGATCGCGGGGGGCCTCCTGCCCTTCGGGAGCAGAACGTGTCTCCCCTGTCGCGGCTGATGGCGATGGGGGACTGGGCCATGATCCCTTCGACCGTGAGGAGGTGGCGCCTGGGCGCTCGGAGGAGCAGCTTGCGGAACCTGATAACCGCGGCTGCGCGGCCAAGCCGTCGCCTTCGGCAGCGACGCGGACTGCCTGGCGGACGGGACTGAAACGGCTGCGCCCCGCACGGTTTAGCGCCGGGTTTGCCGCCAGTTGTTGAACAGCCTGCCCGCTCGGCCGCTTGGCTGCTCGGCCGGCCTGTGCGCAAAAGTGAGAAAGCGGTTCTCCGTTTGCTGAGCGGCGAGTGCCATCCCCACGCGATCGGGGCGCATCCGCCAGGTGCCTTGCCCATTGCATCGGGGCGCGCCTGGGTCATCGAGGGTGGGCGTCGATCGTGGTTGTCAGCGGCCGCCAGGTGGGAGCCGCGCCTCGCTCACCCGTAGCACTGCTTCGGAGGTGTAGATTGGTCAGGGCCTTTTCCCTTGGGCCCTGTGGCCCCCCTCCCCTCTGCTGGGGTTGGAAGGGTTAACTGGCCGTTCCCTCCTTCTATTTGTTGCCTTTGGGGCCCCGTATTTTATCGCATTCCAACTCGGCATACCACGTCAGCTCGGCAGGCCACCGCGGCAGCCCCCAAGAGCATCGGGCAGACCAGCACGGCAGATTTCGGGCCAGCGCGGCGGACCAGCACGGTAGACAACAACACGGCAGACCCGCGCGGCAGACGGCATCAACGCGGCGGACGCGCGGCAGAGCGCAGCACGGCGGCATTCCAGTAGTGCAGACCACCGGAGCACGGCAGACCAACACGGCAGACCACACACCATCGCGGCATATTTTAAGAGCACGGCGGACCACAGGAGCACGGCAGACCACAGGAACGCGGCAGATTACAGGAGCGCGGCAGATCAACACAATGTTTCCCCATCAATTCTGTTGGTCGTTTGTTATGTGTTTCTAATCCGATTCTTCGACGTCTTCAAGAGGACTTTCTCTGACAAACTCGTGGAACCAAGAACGACGCTTCCCGCTCTTGTCCGGTCCGCTGTGTCCAAATGGCCGTTTCGTTCGGGAGATCTTCAAACACATGGCTTGAAGTCTGGCGTGTCCTCTTGCAGGGGGATTTTCGACGACAGATTTACAGATACCCCAACAATATTTTCCAAACGGTCCAAACATATTGAAATGATAGTCCCCAGACTCTTTGTGGGCTGTTTTCGAATATTCTTCCTGTGGAGGGACGGGCTCGAAACAGCCTCGTCTTGGAATCGCTCTTGGCGGGGCCCACCGTGGCCTCGCATGGTCCCGAGAGGCCCCACGCAGGGCCCCACGGTGGCTCCCCAAGGCGCCTCCAAGAGCGCCCCGAGAGGCCCCCCGCCGGCCCGAGAGAGAGCCCCAGGACCAGGGGGCCACCTCCTCCTCCTCCTCCTCTTCCTCCTCCTCCTCCTCTTTCTCCTCCGTGTGAACCCTACCCCATATCCCCCACGACTTCTGAGGGGGAGGGGGGGGGGTCACTTGGCTCGGGAGCCTCCGAACGAAGTGACCCCCCCCCTCCCCCTCAGAAGTCGTGGGGGGTAGGGGGTAGGGTTCACAGGTGGCCCCCCAAAGACGGCCCACGGTGGCGCCAAGGCGGCTTCAGAGAGCGTTCGCAGCTTCCCAAGGCACGTCCAGGCATCCCAAGAGGACCCCCAGGGGCCCCAAGAGGACCCCGAGGGACCCCTCCAAGGCCTCCCGGGATGCCCCGAGATGGCCCCAAGGTGGCCCCAGCACCCCCCAGGTCAGCTTCAAAGCATCACGAGGAACGCCTGCCTACGCTGAACTGACGCCCGTTTCTCCTCCTCCTCCTCCTGCTCCTCCTCCTCCTCCTCGTCGTCGTCGTCCTCCTCCTACTCCTTCTCCTCCTCCTCCTCCTCCTCCCTCCTCCTCCTCCTCCTCCCCCCTCCCCCCTCCTCCCCCCTCCCTCCTCTTCCTTCGTCGTCTTCTTTCTTTTCCTCCTCCCCCTCTTCCTTCTCCGCTTCGTCTCTCCTCGTGCTCGTCCTCCATCTCTTCCTCCTCGACCTCGTGCTTGTCTTCGTCCTTGTTGTCGCTGCCCCCCTCGTCATCCACGCTGTCATCCTCGTCATCCGCCGCCTTGTCGCCGCCATCCTCCTTCACTTCTTTCCCCC